TAATAAAATGGACAAGGGTAGGGAAACAACAGAGTTTAGAGGGAAAATTATGAATAGGAATGGTATGGTCTGTGGATTAAGCTGCAGCTGCCAGTGCAACATCTAAACAAAGCTGTACAGCAGGCCCTAGCTAAGTACCTGAGTCTGGGGCCTGTAGAATGGTCAGAAATCAGCATATAATAAATTCATCACCACCAGTACATGCAACATGAAAACAGCTAATATCCCAACGTGTATATTTACAAAGGTAAATACACAAAAGGACACCAACTATTTAAGCCAGAGCATCTGCTGATTTTCTGAGGATGGACTTGACTGCTTCATACCCTGACTCTCATAATTTATTTCCCCCTTACTTTACACAAAAATCTGCTTCATTCAATCCCAATTAACAAATAGTCTTGGCTGTTTAGTGGTAGTCCTATGCTTTCTACGGAAAATTTTGAACAAATACCTCCCTACTCTTTTCATGGTTTCCTAATAATGCAGAATTGTATGCAAATATACTAGGCATTAAAGTAAGAGGAGGGAAGAAAAAATAGTAAAAAGTATTCAGTTCACATTGTAATTCCTTATTCTTAGTCAGAGACAGCTCAAAGACCCTCAGGTAAATATCACCTGTTCTCTCAATATTCAAAATATTTTATCATTTATATGCTTCATTTAGTAATATTAAATCCCTGATTGTACTATTTGTTTTGGAGTACAAACTTTAGTTCAATAGTCAAACCTGGTTCTATCAGAAGTTAGCCTATACTACTGTTAACATGTGGAATCTTATGTTTAAATAACATACTGTGGTTTCCAAAGCATTTTCCATAATGATGTTTTTATTCTCCAATAATTGTATGACATGGAAGAAAGCAGATATTTGTAGAGTTATTTGTGTAATCAAATTTGACTGTTTACCCAGGGTCCAACAGCTGGTAAATGTTAGGAAAATAACTGGACCACAGTGTTTTGACAACTAATGCTATATTAAAAGAACAGAAAGTATTCTGACATTCTGCTGGGGAGTTGACATTGTTTGACAACAAACATGATCTGCTCATTTAACTTTTTCCAGAAAAGTCTTTCAGCTGATTCTCAACATTGTGTATTCTGTGTGTGGTGTATATGTATGTATGTGTGTGTGTGCGTGTGTGTGTGTGTTCTGTTTAACTTACTATTTCCACACTTAATAAAATTCACTTGGCTGACTACTGCATTGAACTATTTTCCCTTCTGCTTTCTTTGACTTGTTTCTGACAGAATTTTTCTGAGTTTTCCTTCTATCAGCCTAACTTTTCCCTGATTACATCAATCCTATTATGGCTTAAACAGTGGCAAAGATTGTAAAATTGGAATCATATTCTTCTCATTTTCTATGCTCACTGGGTGTATTAGTTTTCTGTTACTGTGATAAAACACCATGATCAAGGCAACTTACAGAAGGAAGAGTTTATTTGGCTTATAGTTCCAGAGGACTAGAGTCCATAATGGTGGGGGAGGCATGGTGGCAGAGGTGGCTAGTGCAAAAAGTCAAATGATCACATCTTCAAGCAGGCACAGGAATCAGAGAGAGAATGGAAATTCAGCAAGGCTTAAAAACTCTCAACACTCACCCCCAGTGACATGCTTCCTCCAGCATGGTCACGTCTCCTATAGGTTCAATGACTTTCCCCAAACAGCACCACAAACCGGAGACCAAGTGTCCAAATACTTGGGACCTATGGGAGACATTCTCATTCAAACTACCACGCTGGGTTTTCTCTAACTTTGTTCTCTGTGACTAAATAGAAAACATTCTTTTCTAACCTAAATGTTTCATTTTTTATTGAAATCTTAAAGCCGAAGTATAATATTCTAGAAAATAGAGAAAATGACATTAAAGCACAGAGAGGAAAGTATGTCACTCACCTTTCTACTACTCCAAACTCAGTTAAAATCTGAGTTTTTTCTTGAATGATTAACAATTTTAAGTCCTTTCATATTCATAACAAGGGTGTTCAAGTCCATGAATTTTTCTAATGTACAACATCAACCATGTCTTGTTGCTCAAGTGGTAGACCATAAGACCATAAATTCATTCAGAAAGAGCTTCATAGGTCACTGTAACAGCGCTGACTTCCACTAGAGAGAAATGGGGCTATTGGAGAGTTTTGAGCAGAAAGACTACATAATCTAACTTAAACATCAGTCTGGCTGCTGCTGTAAGTGAGCAAAGCAGGAAAGCATCTGTACAGCAGGTGAGAAGGCAGGAAGGTCTGACAGGAGGTACTGAGTCTGCCCTTTAATTAAAAGAGCAAGGTGGTTTGGCATAAGACGGAAATCGCTGAAGTGGGGAAAATTAATATGATTACGGCTACACTTTGCAGGCAGAGCCAACAACAAGATTTGTTGAAGGGCTGGCTGAGGGCCATAAGAAAAAGAGAAGAATCAAGAATTTCAGAACTTCTGACCTGAGTCATTGCCCTCAGCTGAGGTAGAAAGCTGAAGGCAGAGCGAGTTGGAAGGAAACTCTTCTTGATATGGTGTATTGACCTTCTAAGAGATCGCCAGTTGGCTGGAGCAGCTGTGTGACTTTGGAGTCTGGGAGGTAAATTTAGGCCAGGGATGAAAATTTGGGGCTTATCAGCATACAAATGGCATTTGTAAGGATTAGAGAAAGTGAGTATGGATGGAAATGGAAAAAAACTAAAGAGAGTCAGAAGACTGGAACCAACAATTAGCAGAGTGACCAATTAAGAAGAGGACAGTCAGAGAGCCTAGAAAGGCTAGTGTGCTAGAATCAAAGGCAAGGGAGGCATCAAAAAGTGGTAAAGGATAAAGAGTGAATGAGCAGTCAACTGTCTCCAGCCTATCAATCACTTCATGAAGTTGGTACATTATTAGAAGGAAATATTAGCCAATGAGTAATTATATGTAATTATAGAATAGTCTCTTGTATATAATGGCGATATTAAAAGAATGATTTCAACTGTTGGCAATTATGAAGTTTAATTTGAATCCACCAGGCTTATTCTCACATTAGAACTGTACTTGCTAAGTCTAACTTACATAACTATATATCGTTCTTCCTAAATCATCTTCATAGTTTCAGCTGGCTATGATAAACTACTTTGTGAATATGAAACCAGCAGTTATCATCATAACATATGTCAGAAGCAGCTGGATGTTAGGATGTGGTAACGTGGTTAGAGATTTTTGGATATTTTTGAAGAGAAACAAATGACAGGAAAACTTTTAAAGCATGTGTATTGTCAAATAAATGAGCAGTAACAGAAAACAAAACACCTGATGAGTGGGTTGATTTCTGTTTAGTGTGTCCAGTGAAAATACGATTTATTAAACAGGGCTGCTTCTATCTGCCAGATTCAAGTTATTCTGCTCGGCAGATCTATGATTTTATCATAGACTGAAAGCTACAAATTCCAGTGTCTCTGTTTCTTGACACTCCAAAGTTTCACTTGCCACAATTTGATCCACCTATCCACAAAATGATTTCTCTACACAGAATATTTTAATTAGATCGCTATTAATAAGCCTATATTTAAAGAATATTTTTGCAAGTAGAATATTTTTGTGCAATTTGGGTGTATAGAAAATTAAGCAAATAGTACAGCGAAACCCCGCATGTGTTCCTCTCTTGACCAACACAGTTTCCATATTATCAATATTATCTTTATAGGAAACTATCAAACCTTCCTGCATTCCTATCAGCACTGAGTGAGAGCTTCTGTCGCTCGGCATCCTTGCTGACTTCTGGAATTGTCAGCATTGTCATCTCAGCCATTCTAATAGGTATGTGGTAACCTCATTGTTTTAATTTGCCGTTCCCTGATAATATGTTATGCTTTTCATAGTTATTTTTCATACACTTATTTGTCACCTATATGTTCTTTGGTGAAATGTTCATGTCTTTTGCCCAGTCGGTTTTTTTTTTTTTTTTTTTTTCCAGCTGTCCTGGAGCTCACTATGTAGACCAGGTTGGCCTTGAACTCACAGGGATCTGCCTGTCTCTGCCTCCAGAGTGCTGGGAATAAGGCATGTGCCACCACACCCGGCCTTTTGCCCATTTTTAAAATGAGGCTATTTACTTGCTATTATATTTTAAGAAGTCTTCACATATTTTGGTTACAAGTCCTTTATTAGATGTATGTTTTACCAAAATTATCTCCTAGTCCACTGCTTGTTCAGCTTTTAGCAGTATGTTTGGCTGAGCAGACCTATTTTTTAATTTCAATGAGCTCTAACTTACCCATTTCCCTTTCATGGATCATGTATTTTGTGTGTTTTTAATATCGTCTCCTCAAATTCAGGGTCACCTAGATTTTTCTTTCATTATCTTGTCCATTTTTTAGTTTATCATTTTGCATTTATGTCTATTATCCATTTGAAATAACATTTGGGACAGCTATAAGGATAGTGCATGTATGGGGGGGACACAGGAGGAGTTGGTGGGGGACTGGAAAAGAAGGAAATAATGCACAAATAATAGTCATGCATAAAATTCTAAAAGAAAAATACTATTCCTAAGCCCATCACAATTAATTAAATTTGATAACTTAAAATGGTAAGTGGAAATTTGTGAATATGAACACTGCTACAAAATAAATTAAAATGATGCAAGAAGATGAATATAGAGCTTAGTATGTTTCTTTACCCAATGGTCAAAAACACATAGAACAAAAATAAAGTGCTAAGTCTCCCATTTGAGGATTGTTTGGTCATAAATATGTTAAATAACATTTATGCTTGTGCTGATGATTAATGAAAAGATCTAGTATATTAAGTAGAGCTATTTTATGCATTGAAAAATACAATACAATTAGCTTTCTTTTAGTGACCTTAGCAGCTCATGATATCCTTGGAAAACAGGATGTTAATAGTTTTACTTTCCCAACAGGAAGAACCCCCAAGTGACTTCGAAGCCACCCAAAAGAGGAGAGAGATACTGGCGTGAGGTTGCAGCAAGAAAGTATTTTTGTGGGAAGCATTTTGTGTTCATTTTCTTTTTGAAGGGGAAAGTATGAATGCCCCACCACCACCACAAACTATGTAGCCCAGTTTCCCACATTTGGGGAAATCGCTGGGGTCAGTACATCCAAAGTGCAATTAATGAGGCTCACCCTGGGAAAACCAACTTCGTGATCATGGTGTCTTGCCAGGTAAGTATTCAAGTTTTCATTTTCTAACAAATTCCTTCCAGAGCCTCCGTGGTAAGCTGTGCTCCCTATGGGCACCAGGAACCTGATCAGCTGGAGCGACTGTCTAACAGTTTTGTGACCAAAGTGAGGCACAAGTGGATGCCGATTGCTCTGCTGTCGCTGCATTGTCGGCCCTGAGATCTGACCCAGAAATCTTCCTCTCGTGGATTATACAGGCAGTTGTGTCCATGGATTTATTTTTGATTTCTTTGATTCATTTCATGTAGAAGACTGACTTCATTGGTTAGCTGTTTTGGAGGACACATTACAACCTCCTATTATCATATAATGCATATTCATGAAAAGATAAATGACTGAATCTGTTGAAGATTAATGTTATATTTTCCATTACTAAGTTCAGTTGTCCTCAGGTAGCCAAGTTTATCCTAACTTTACTGGTTAAAACATCTGTATTCAGACTTCCATATTCTTTGTTAATTTTCACTCTAGATACCAAAAGATAACATTTTATTGATCTTTGACATGGAAGTGTTTTAGTGTTTTAATTTTTATGGATATAAACAATGAGAGAATTACCAGTAGCCTCTCTATAAGTGTGAGTTAAATCTTAGGTTTTTTTCCCTTTAATAAGAATCCTCACAGGGAGCATCACAAAGAATCAACACGTGGAGATAACTGGCTGTTAGGTTTATTGCGGTGGACTGTTGGCATGGTGTTGTCATAACCAGAAAGTCTGTAAGGGCTGGACAACTCAAAGGTCCACATACTCAGAGTCAGTCTTCTTCATGAGAATAAATTTATGAATGTTAACACATGTATCTAAAGATAAGAATCTCTTTTTGATTCCATAGACCAATAGAGCAATGGGAACTGGCCATGACTGGACACTGGTTTGTGGGATATGCTGATTCTTTTTGATTCCATAGACCAATAGAGCAATGGGAACTGGCCATGACTGGACACTGGTTTGTGGGATATGCTGATTCTTTTTGATTCCATAGACCAATAGAGCAATGGGAACTGGCCATGACTGGACACTGGTTTGTGGGATATGCTGATTCAGGTAATGCCATTATTGCTAATCAAAATGACTTTTTCTTTCATTATAAACTTTCTAATTTTCCAATAAAACTTTAAAAAATTTAAAAAGATAAGATTCGCATTGAAAAAACAAACGACAAATGTTTAAAGCCCTTCCACACTACTGATGTGAGGGTAAACTGCTGCAGCCACCGTGAAAGTCAGTGAGGAAGTTTCTAAAAATATAAAATAAAACTGCCATATCAGTCAGCTATTCCACTCCTAATTCAACACACCATAGAGACACTTGCACATCCATCTTTATTACTGCAATAGCTAAGAAATAGACTCTACCTAGACATCCATTAACATATGAATGGACTAAAAAATGTGGTGCAAATATACAATAGAATATTTTTTCAGCCATAAAGAAAAATGAAACAATGACATTTGCACAAAAATGAATGGAACTGGAAATCATACGTTAAACAAAACAAGGCAGACACAGAAAGACTAAAACCTTGTGTTTTATCTGATATTCAGAAGTTAATGTGTGTGTATGCACGTGTGTGTGTGTGTGTGTGTGTGTGTGTGTGTGTCTTATTAAAGGGGACCATGAAAGGAAGGAAGAGATCATACAGGAAGAAAGAAGAGAGGGTAATGGAATTTATGCAAAATGAAAAAAGAATGGAGGATTATATGGGGGGGGAGCCTAGGGGAAGAGAATAACCAACAAAGCATAATGGGCATCTTAAAAGGTGTTCAACATCACTAATAATTAGGGAAATGCAAATTAAAACAATTTTAAGATTTCATCTTACCCCAGTCAGACTGGCTAAGATCAAGAGAACAAATGATAACAAATGTTGGAGAGGACGTGGGGAAAGGGGAACACTCATCCACTGCTGGTGGG